AAAATCTTATAAGGACAAAGTTGTTGCAGATATTGAGGTATTATATTTATATTTACTTATCCATTGTGCTTATAAACATTTCTAATGACATCACCTATAAATGTAGAGCCACTTCTATTTGGAATCTGACTTTGGGATGTCATGGGCAATGGAATCATTACGTGACAAAAGAAAGGAGTTTAGAAATAGACTAAAAAGTGTTTATTGCAAAATCAATAGCACAAGAGATAAAGTTATGGGCACTCCAGCTCCCGGAATACCTCAAGATCAATGGAACAGTTTGGGTTAATTATTGGTTTTCTCCAAAGTGCAAGGTGATAAAATTCTACAACTTTGTGATTGAAATATTATTTGTAGTCATCTATTTGTGTTATAGATGCGAAATTAACTTCATTCATTTGAAATGCACTTACATAAAATGACTGAACAAAATACAGAAAATTGAAAAAAATTGATGTTTCCTAACATTGGAGGGTCAAAAAGTATCGCAAGGCGAACACATGAAATGGTGATGTCCATATTCTCTAAATCCTCACAGCCCTTTGACTCTTGTCATTTTCGCATGCACATTTATGCATGTTATTGTACAATGCAGGAGCTGGAAACCGGCCAACATTTTGGTCGAGGTGTAGCATTTATCGTTAATGATGAAAGATGGATCTTATGTTAATGATGATGCCAAAGTTGTTGGTGTAAGTTGTCCATTCGTTAGCATAACCTATCTTTGTATGAACACTAATACACACACATAACCACATGCATTGACACTTGTGCATATAATTTGTAGGAGCAAATTGAAAAAATAATTGTTGATGAAGAGAATGATGGGAAACATAATGATGGAATTCCTTCTAAAACTGATGCATTGGGCCAAGTTTTAGGAAATGAACATAATGGAAGAGTTCGTGGCATGGGATTTGGTGTTTGTCCATCTAAAGTATTCAGTCCATCAACTTGCCGAGGTAGAGGAGCTTCAGCCACAAGAAGTTTTGGCTCTACCACGTCTTCTCAAGTGCAGTCCCTAAAATTAGAACTATTAAATGTGAACAAGAAACTTGAGAAGGAGTGTTCCAAAAGAGAACGAGATCAATCTAGGATTGGTAATGTCTTCAAATACCTAGAAGAACACTTGGGACTAAAACTGCCAGAGGTAAGTTGCTCACCATATTTATCATAAAAATTATTCTAATAGTTTGCCTGTTAATTATTCCCACTACTTGAGTTTTCTTTTGTTCCTATTTTAAGTGTGTGTATGGATGTGAAGTTAAGGTACTTTAGTGTACAAGTGTTGAAGATAAATTCATGATTACTATTTTTGTGAAGGGTTCTCATATTATGCTCGAAATTTTAACTTTGGGTTTATAAAACAGAAAAAGAGTAACGAGAATGGACTGTTGTGAATTTATAGAACGGCTGTAGAAATAGAGAGTGTTTTCTTTTACCACCACTGCCTGCCTAGAAAATATAATAGTTTTAACAAAACAATTTATAAGCTCACATAGTCGAGCAATGCATAATGTGGAAAGACATCAACATACTTAATTGGATTATGCATTCATTTATAATATGAAGTACATACATAACATCAACCATGTATTGCATGTTACCTGCCATATTATGTCTTTAATAGAGTCCACAGGTCTTATACTTTTTACAATCTTGTAAGCTAGAATGTTACTTGAAGCTTGTAATTCTTCATTTTTCAGGAGGTTGTTTCATCGAGTCCTGAAACATCTCAAGCAACACAAGATGATTGATTATTCTGATCTGAAGCAACATATGATCGTCAGGAGCATGCCATGATCTACATTTTTTGTTAATTAATCCCATCACTTGTATTTTGTAGTAGTCTATATGAAGGAATAGTGAATTCTAGATCATTGATTTTTGTTATCTTAATGAGTGTTGTTGAAGAAACTATGGGGCTTAGTCATGTGGTATGGCCATTTTTGTTGTCCTGAGTAATACGCTAAGAATATTTTTGCATTACACTTATCAAGATCTATGAAGAGTTATTGGTCAAACATTTATGTTTGTTTGATGTGTTTTATGCTTAGATAATATACTTTTGTAAATGATATTAGCTTGTTGATGAAGTTGTATCATTTCTCTGTTTCTGCATTCAGGAGTAGTCCTAATATAATGGACCATTTTTTCAATAGTGCGTATTCTACGTCGGTTATAAATAAAACTAACAGTCTACCTGTTTGGTTTATGTTGTGATCTAGCGTCGGTTATAAGTGACATTAATTGCCAGTATAAAGAATAACATAGGCAACAACGTCGTTTAAGAACCGTTGGGAAACGCTGTACTGGTTTGAATTGTGCTCTAATTTAGCGTCGGTTATAAGTGACATTAACTGTTGCTATATTACCGATGGCAAACCCAAAAAATTAAATTTAGTTTGAGCTCCTAGTTTCATTAAGAACCGTAGGGAAATACCGTTGGTTACTCGCGTCGGTTGTTCCAACGGTTTGCAAAACCGACACAGGAGTCTTCTTGCGGAGGTTTTTCCGAGGGTTATGGAAACCGTCGTCGTGTCAAGTTGTCAACTCACATCGGTCATAACCGACGTTAAGTGACATTATAACCGACACTAATTACCTGTATTTTGTAGTGATATATGTGGTAGATCATAGGAATGGATATGTAAACGGTGGAGACACAGGGACGACGATACTGTCCTCAAACCTCAAATGTATAAATGGTGGAGACCCAGGGACGACGGTACTGTCCTCAAACCTCAAATATATAAACGGTGGAGACCCAAGGACAACGGGACTGTCCTCAAACCTCATTATATAAATGGTGGAGACCCATGGACGGCAGTACTGTCCTCAAAACTCATATGTATAAATGGTAGAGAATCCAAGGACGACGGTACCGTCCTCAAACTCGTACGTATAAATTGATTTGGACCAGGAGGAGTCCTATACACTCATAAGATATGGGTGGGTTGAGATTTAAGTCAAGGATATTGACTACTATGAGTTTTCCAAATAAACAATGACCTACGGGTCGAGTATTTCCAAATATATATATATATATATACTGATATGTATTTTATAACTTGGGGGAAAGTACTATACGTGTATGTATCACCCTATGTTTGGGTCTTATACTTGAAATATTAGTTAGGCTACATTTAGCTTGCTACTCGCTCGGTACTTGTACTGACCCCTTCGCCCCCCCACCATTTTCAGGTTGAAGCTAGGGCTTGCTACCTGCACCTTCTTATGGGTGAACTCAAATCAGGGAAGACGTGGTTTGTGCTTCCTTATTTCCTTTCAAACTACCAAACACTTGCTCATGGATATTTGATTTACTATAAACTATTTTGGACTTGCGAGCCCATGTTTTGGCCGGTTGTGGCCCATACTTTACCGTTGAATATTTTCGCTATTCATTGGTTTAAATGTGATGTTGTTATGTATGTTTAGTACCGAGTATGGATGAATTATGTTCATGGACGCCTTGTATCATTAAGTCACGTTGACTTGCAAGTGACGTCACTTGATCATACGACGGTTGTACACGCGTTTAGATGCGGTCTGTGGCGTGACATAAAGAGTCTACTTTAAACCATTTTTTGGTTCCCAATTATTGATAGAGCAAAGTCTCCTCCAAAAAGGGGAATCATACATCTTAGGGAGCACATATTAGTGTTTTGGAGTATTTAGAATGTATATCAGTGCACCCTTATATCGTATATGCACTTTTATTAGTAAATATTGCACCTTTAGGTTTGATGTATTGCAATTCAATTTTTTATCGATTCAATTCATTTTTAGGTGATCAAAGGTTTAGATCACTTCTCACTTTTCATGAGAAGACTTCTTTGTATTAGGACCCATCACGATGCATATACATATATGAAACTCCACAATATTTTGTTTTTCAATAATTTATTGGGACCTCCAATTTATTTAACCGACTTTCCAATTAAATTTTAAACTGAAATTTGGTGAATGTAATCTACACTTCATGAAGAATAATATGCTAAAAAAAATCGACCCAAAGGACATCAAACAGGCATAACCGAATGGAGGCTTCGATCAACCCGGACAGGAACAAATGTTTTAGTCAAACCGGACACGAACACCACTCTTTACTTGTATATGTCTACTTGTATACAAAAAACCTTTTGTACACACTATTAATGTTTACACACTCTGTGTAGACTTTTTATCTGTCGGTGACAGAAACACATTTTGTTTGTCACAGAAAAAAAGAGTTCACAAAAAAAAGATGACACCCCATCCCTGAGGGTCCCAAACACCGACCAGACAATTAGATGGGACGATGTAAATTGAACTTTAATTACAAGCCGTCAGATAGAGAGTGAGTATCTGACCTTGGTGCTTGGAGAGACCCTAGGCTTGCAGTAACCCCTCATAGCCTTTGAAATGTGTAGGTGAAGAATGGTTTTTATCTATGAAGCACGGAAACTCTCTCCGGCTCACGTTTCCCCGTTTCGGAAACTCGGAAGCGTTTCCGAACTTCGGAAACTTCAAATTCCCGTTTCGGGACCGTTTCCACAGTTAAGAAGAACGAGGAAACCCGTTTCCCTAAATATTTAGCATTTCGGAAACCTTGAATTTCCAATTTTTCTCTTTCTTAAGAGTTCTGTGATGCAAAGTAATGTCTTTTTGAAAAACAAATAGTCAATTTGTGTGATATTTCGTCATAGCAACATTGAGACATTTCCTAACGGAATGAATCGCTAGAAATGAATTACATTATATGTTTAAGTATGTACTAATATGTTGTGATTTCAAAATTTGAACATGTGGAATGCTTTTATTATTGGATCATTAAACAAATTATGGTAATATCATGTACATATATCATGTACATATATAAAAAAGTATTTATAGATATACTCTTATATTTTTTAATATTTACACGTTTCCCCCACGTTTCGCATCCTATATTTTGTAGAAATTACGTTTCTCACGTTTCGCGTTTCCTGTTTCACGTTTCCAGCTTTTCCCTTCTACTTAGGTTTTTAACACTCCGATTGACCCCTAATGTCACCCACCCACTCAGCTACTGCTGCTTCTAGGCGCGGGGAAACGAACCAGCGCAAATGAGCCAGATGACACGTGAAGCTCTGATGAACCTTCGCATTCGGTGATTCACATTGGTGGGCGATTTCCTCACGGATTCACATTCAGCCGTCCACCGTCGCACTTCATTCTCGCCGTCAACAATGAGCGGCAAGAGTATCAGGCTCTCTGGCTCGGCGCCTCATCACTACTCCTCCGCAACGCCATGCACCCGCACCCATCAGATCGGCGCACTAGCCCTAGTCATCATCACCTACTTCTTCACTCGTCTCTTCCACCAGTCCATCAACCCTTGTTCTTTTTTTCCCACCAACTACGCAACTGACGAGCTCGGATCCGCTAACGACGTCGTACGGTTCTCTGACAGAGGGTCTGTCTTATGGCCCCAACGCGGGTACGGGCCCCACCTCTCCCTCAAAATCTACGTCTACGATGCGAGCGAGATTGATGGACTCAATCTGTTGTTGTCCGGCCGGGAAGGGAATATTTCCCCTGAATCATGCCTGAAAGGACAATGGGGCTCTCAGGTAATTTTTTCTCACGTAACATATGAATGAAGATAATATGAACTTCTCATGTATGACTAATGCGCCATTTTTTAAGAAAGAGATAATCAATATCAGCTATCTTACTTGTTTTGTTTGATCTCCAAGGTTAACTGCTTGTACTGAGAATTCGTATAATGGAGCTTCGAGTTCATAACATTACAAATTCAACAGTGTTTTCCAGTCCATATTAGATAGTGATTCATATCATTACCCCACCAGTTCCATTTTGATTAAATTTCGTTCTTTATGTGTTTATAGGATCTAGATATTTGGAACTGTAAATGTATTTCTTTATGTTCTTTTTCTGATCATTCTATTTACTTTTATAATGCTGAGCAGGTCAAGATTCATAGGCTTCTCTTGCAATCAAGATTGCGGACTAGGAGGAAAGAGGAAGCAGATTTGTTCTTCGTGCCAAGTTATGTTAAATGTGTACGTATGATGGGTGGTCTGAATGATAAAGAAATAAATCAGACCTACGTGAAGGTAGCAATTCCTCAGAATCATGAAACTGGCTATGTTTGACGACCAGGCAATCTCTGGTTTTGTGTATCTTTCGCTTTAGTTCAGCTGCAATGGAGTTCTGTTCACCCTGCATTTCTAGTGGCATTGTTATTTCAGTTGATTACGGAATATTGTTTTTTCATTTTTAAAAATTTCATGTTTTTTCTTACAGGTTTTAAGTCATATGCCATATTTCAGGTTATCTGGAGGCCGCAATCACATATTTGTTTTCCCAAGGTAACACCCTTTTAGTTATTTTGGCATCTGTTTTTTTTACAATATGAGCTCTTATGTACATAATGATTGATGGGTGCCACATTGCCTGCCAAAGACCCAATATCTGTAACTAGATAAGAACAAGGGACCTGTCATAACCTCTTACGTGCCCCATGTTTCTTAAATTTTGTGCTGTTTAATCGGTCTGAACTCTGAGTAGCATTTGTGCCTTTTCTCATTCACAGCGGAGCTGGAGCTCATTTGTTCAAGTCATGGGCAACATATTTGAATCGTTCTATCATTCTTACTCCTGAGGTACTATCTTTTAATAAATGACTCTCTTCCCTTGAGTCTTGAGGTTCAGGCTACTAGGCAAGAGGACACATCTAAAAAGGTCAACATGGTATGAAGTGTTATCTAAGGTCTTATATCTGAGTTATTTTTTATAAATTAGGTCAGTGAGTTGATTGAACATTTTCCTGCAAGATATGATTTTTTGGAATAGAACATTCTCGAAACCCATGTGTTCTTTTGTGATCTTAGTCAGATCAATTGCATGTTTAAAGTCGATGAAGTCTTGGAGTTCCATCCTAAAAGATTAATATCATAAAGAAATTCAATGTTCCATCCTAAAAGATCATATCCACGTAAATGGAACCCCTTCCGAACGAGTATCATAGAGATCACATATCTGAATTTGTTCCTGAAATCTGTTCATTGCTCTCCAGAGAATACTCCCCCCACTTTGTTCTGATGCCCAAAGAGTATCGGTAAAGTCTCCAGCCACAAACCACGGTCCTGAATGTCTCCTTCTGAACTCTTTCATCTCATCGCAGCATCTATCTTTCACTAATGTATTGGGTTGGATATATACAAGGGAACATATTACACTGTATTGGGTAATGATGATGATGATGATCACAATGTACAGATGGGAAGATTTCTCCATCCCCGTGAGATTCACTCTATTCGGGTCCAAAAAAAAGTAGTATGCCCCTGGCAAATCCCAAGGGTGGAACACAATCCCAACAGCTCATCCTTAACCTCCTAGCCATTTTCACCATTCTGATGGAGTTAGCAGATTTTGTTTCAAGCAAACCCAAAATATCTGGCCGTTATTTAATAATAAGGTCTTTAACGTGACATATGGCACGGCGTTTAACGATTCCCCTACAATTCCAAGTGAGAACTTTCATGATTAATGAATTTATCTGCTGGAAATAGGAACCTCCAAAATTACACTTTCCAAACGAGGAGCTAGCTCCAAAGCTTGAGCCTGTCCAACCACCGTGTCTCCTTCAGGGATGGAATTTATATCGAACTTCTGATTTGTTTTCCTTTTCAGTAATTCCTTTTGAACTTGAAGGTGTCACTGGAGTGTGACAGACTGACAGTTTGACCCAAACTGGAAGATACTCGAGTTATCTAGGATTTTAGCATCTTTCAATGAAGAAAGCGTGTTCCTTCTCTCAGTATAGAACTATGAGCCCTGGATGAATCCTCTTTGGAATTCTGACCCTTATTTAATAATCTTATTTCCTTTGTCTTCACTAGATTCTTTTGGGAAGATTGCGTTCGTGTATGAGATCCAAGTGTCTTTATTAATTTACTCTCATATTTTAGATTTTGTGACCCAAGAACCGGATTAGCACCGGTCTGAATCCTCTCCCTTCACTTTCATTTCTTGGTCTCTCTTCAGTGTTATTATCTTTCTCACTGATATAGCTTAAAGAAGAAAACCGATTCTTATCTTCTGTTGGGATGAACTTCTCTGTTTGTGGGGTTTGCCTTTAGTCAGTTGTAGCTTACGGTTATTCCCTCATTTCCAAGCTATCCGTTTGACCAGCATATGAGGCCCAAATCTATCAGCTGGAATTTTGGCTTCGGATTTTTTTTCCCAAAATTGTCTCCTTGGACGAGACTAAGTCCTCCACCCTTAATTGCGTAGGTTGCACTCAGCTAGAGCACCGTCTTTCCGGTATCCGTACTGCCCACATTCAAAGCCTATCATATGTAAACCCTCATATTCTACCACCTGTTTTCTTTTCCCAACCCGAACATATGGTACCTGTTGGGCTGTAGGCTTCGGCCCATTCAGATCTGGGAGCTAAATAAACAAAGAGCAGCAGCCTGCTCTAGTTAAATGTGCAGGCAGCCCTAGTTGGGCCTGTTTCTTTGGTGGCAGTCAGGCCCAGAACCTTATTAAGTGTTTTCCCCTAATTGTTTGCCTATATATATGGATATTGACTCCTGTACTTGTAAACAATGACTTGTATCATTCATCATCTCAATAAGAAAGAAAACCCTAGTTGCCCCCGTGGATTAGGTCAGTAACACTTACTGGCTGAACCACGTTATATTCGTGTGCTGTTCTTCTCGTTTTTTTCCTAGTTTTTCAGATTCGTGCGTGTGTGAGATCTAACCCTAACAACTGGTATCAGAGCAAGGTTAGCCACCACCACATATTCGACCACCACCACTGCTGCTGCTCTGCGTCTTCAGCCTCCTCGTGCCGCCAACAGTGCACTGCCGCAGAAGAATATAGCCGGCAGATTGTGAAGGACTGGGACAATGGCAGATGACGGAAAAACCAAAGTCGAGAAGTTTGATGGACAAGATTTTGGATGGTGGAAGATGCAAATTGAGGATTTGTTGTGTCAGAAGGATTTGGATCAAGCCTTCACAGGGAAAAGACCAGAAAAGATGAGTGATGATGAATGGGCTGCTCTAGATAGGAAAGCTTTGGTTGTTATCAGATTTACCCTAGCCAAGAGTGTGGCGTTTAACATCCTGAAGGAGACTACTGCATGTGGTATGATGAAGGCTTTGTCGAACATGTATGAGAAACCATCGACATCAAACACGGTATTTCTGATAAGACAACTAGTAAACACCAGAATGAAAGAAGGTGCATCCGTTACCTCACACATTAATGAGTTTAATACTATCATATCCCGTTTACTATCTGTTGATATTAAGTTTGAAGATGAAGTCCAAGCTTTATTCTTGTTATCCTCGTTACCAGAAAGTTTGGTCAGGAACAGTCACTGCGATTAACGGTTCAATTGGAACCTCTAAACTCACATTTGAGGGCATTCGTGACTTTATCCTAGGAGAGGATATAAGAAGGAGGAGTTCTGGAGAATCTTCCGGTGCTTTGTTAAGTACTGAAGGGAGAGGTAGAAAGAAAGAGAAGGGAAATGGCAGAGGTAGATCAAAGTCTAGAAAGAGGAGCCAGTCAAAATCGAGAAAATATATTCAATGCTGGAACTGCAAAGAAACTAGGCATTTCAGAAATCAATGCCCTAAATCTTCAGAAAAGAAGGAAGTAAGTAAATGCAACCACTGATGATTCAGATGCTCTTATCTGTTATGTTGAAAACTCAACAGAAACGTGGATTATGGATTTTGATGCATCATTTCATGCTACTTTTAGCACGAAGGCGATGAAGAATCTACCGACAGGTAATTTTGGTAAAGTTCGTTTGGCTAATAATGACTCTCTTGACATCACAGGGATGGGTGACATAGACTTAAAGACTTCATTGGGCACCACTTGGACCTTGAAAGACGTTCGGGTCATTCCATGCCTTAATAAGATTCTGATTTCTATTGGGCAATTGGATGATCAGGGATTTGATGTTACTTTTGGTGAAGGACAATGGAAAGTTGTCAAGGGGAATCTTGTAATCGCCAGAGGCAAAAAAGAGGGGTACTTTATATATGGTTGAAGCTCCTGATGATGAGATGAATGCAGTGACCAGCGGGCTGAATCCATCCAGTTTGTGGCATCAACGGCTAGGCCACATGAGTGAAAAGGGAATGAAGATGCTCGTTGCAAGGGGGAAACTTCCAGATTTGAAAAGGTGGATCCTGAGTTCAGTGAGCCTTGTGTACTTGGCAAGAAAAAGAAGGTTTCTTTTGTGAAGACAGGTCAGACACCGAACACTCATAAGCTGGAGCTAGTTCACTCGGATGTGTTTGGGCCAACGCCAGTCTCTTCCCGGGAGGATTAAGCTACTATGTGACCTTCATTGATGACTCAACACGCAAGGTATGGGTTTACTTTCTTAAAAATAAGTTTGAAGTTTTCAATATTTTTAAGAAGTGGAAAACTGCTTTTGAATTGGAAACTAATCTGAAGGTAAAGTGCTTGAAATCGGACAATGGTGGTGAATACATTAGCACAGAGTTTATTGATTACTATGCTGAACATGGCATTCGGATGATAAAGATGGTTCCAGACACTCCTCAACAGAACGGAGTGGTAGAAAGGATGAATAGAACTTTGAATGAGAGGGCCAAAAGTATGAGATTTAATGCTGGGCTTCCAAAGACGTTCTGGGTTGATGCAGTGAACACTGCCGCTTATCTTATCAACCCGGGGCCATCAGTACCATTGGGTTTCAAGATACCAGAGGAAAGGTGGAAAGGAGAAGCGGTAAAGTATGGGCATTTAAAGGTATTTGGATGCAACACTTATGATCTTATCAAAGATAGTGACAAGTTAGATGCTAAAGCCAAGAAATACATTTTCATTGGATACGAGGCTGAACTTTATAAAGACAGAAGCACAGAAAACTCAAAGATTCAGAAAGAGCAGGTTGAGTTTGAAAATGATGTCATCAGAAATAGAGAGTCTTAAGATACTCAAAACAGTGGGAGCATGGAGAATGATTCCAATACCGACGAGTCTTAGGATGATCACGAAGACTGTTGATATTGAAAATTCAGAGGATGAAGGAGCACCTTCACCTATGCAGCCGCAACCAGTTGAAACACAGTGGGTCAGAAGATCCACTAGAGTCACTAAACCTCCAGAAAGATTCAGTCCTTCAATCAATTATCTCCTTTTGACTGAAAATGGAGAACTAGAAAGTTACTTCGAAGCAGTAAAGCAGAATGATTCGTTTCAGTGGGAGCAGGCTATGAAAGAAGAATTGGATGCCTTACACAAGAACAAGACATGGGTTCTTACTAAGCTTCCGCCAGGTAAGAAGGCACTTCAAAATAAATGGGTATTCAGAATCAAGGATGAACCTTATGGGTCAAAACGTTACAAAGCCCGTTTAGTGGTCACAGGTTTTCAGCAGAAAAAAGGAGTGGATTATAATGAGATTTTTTCTCCCGTGGTTAGAATGACCACCATCAGATTGGTTCTAAGTATTGTAGCTGCAGAAGGCTTACATCTAGAGTAGATGATAGGAATTTGGCTTAGTAGGCTAATAATAAGAAATAATAATAATAGTAAGTGTATATGTAGTAGTATAAATAGAAGAGGAGGGGAGGAAAATAGGCAGGCGGTTATTTTGTTGTTGGTTGGTAGCTTGGAGATTGGGCATCTCGAACTGTCCCACAACTTGTACACCTTTTACGACGTTCTCTTCTTCAATAAATTGTTTACGATCTGTTCATAGTTTCCTTTGCTTAATAGTGTGATTGTTCTGAATTGAATTCTACCCGTGTTCTATCATTGGTATCAGAGCAACTGTTCTGGTGATCGGAATTGCTGTAGTATCACCGGATTTTTTTTTCTTGTTCTGAATGGTTCGAACCAGATCCAAAATGGAGAATCTAAGGGAAGAAATGAAGCGCACCAGGATCACAACTGAGGAAACGTTGCTACAGATGAAAACGATGACGGAAAAAATAATAGTAAAGATGGATGCACTGAGCGATGAACTTCGCGAGAGAGGAAAATTGCGATCCCATCCTCGTCATCATACGCGACTTTCAACATCTCAGAAGTCTTCGTCAACAATGTCCTTCAGTTCGCAGATACGAACTACTTTTCCCAAGTCGCACGTAGAAGTTCCCAGCTCGCCATTGCGAACATTTTTGCCTTATTCGCAGACCTCGTCACGTGCGCAGAAGTCTTCGCAATCGCAGTCGCGAACTTCTTCTCCTCCAAGTGAAACGAGATTGACAAGAGGTTTCAATTCACAGGTTTCCTCTAAGTCACAAGCAACTTTCTCCAGTTCCCCGGCTTTGTCGCAAACCATTTCTCACATTAGTCCGCAGATTTCATCGCCATCGCAAACAACTGTTCACGGGCTTCCTTATCGCAGTCACGAACTATTTCAGCCTAATCAGCGTCTCCTAATGCACTAGTTTCAACGTACCTAAAGGAGTCAGCCGTTTCAGAAGCCATAACCCCAGGCGCAAAAGGAAAAAGATCTTCAGGGGCCCCATAGTTGGAAACAAACGTTGATTCAAAGCTGTCTGCACCTTCAGTTCAACAATTGGAGACGAAAGAGGAAATTCTGAAAGGAGCAGAAAATATTGATTCATCAAATAACTTAGAAGCTAAAAGGAACTACATGTAAGATGCTACAGTTTCAAAGAGTGAAGCAACTGAAACCCAAGGGCTTGGGTTATATCTTGAAGTAAGAGCTATTAGCAAATGGAAGATTGAGCAGTTGGTGCTTGGTAAAGCTCAGTTCCAATACGTTCGGGAAACCAATACGTTCATGCTTATTCTGCTTGAAGTTCATCAGGATCCGGTCCCTGAAGATCGTTCTGTTGCTGCAATAGCTATTGGCTCTGTTATAGGGGATAAGAAAGAAGAAAACTTCCCAGACATGGGACTTTGGCAGTTAGAGAATCTGAAATCGCATGGCAGCACTGTTGTGCACAATTTCTATTGGTTGTTGAAGTTTTACAATACAAATCTGCTATTACAAATACAGAAAAGTGGGTGATAAATGGAGAAGTTTGCATAAGGTTTGTTGCAGACAATGAGTTGAGTAACTTGAGTAACTGGAGTAACATCAAATCGGAATCCAGCACATTGATAGTCTCAGAAATGAGAGTACTTGAGGAGTCTCATGAAAACAAGGAAACATTTGTAGTTAGTGAGTGCTTGACGGCTATTGCAACAAATGAAACTGCACTAGACATATCTTCTGCAGCAGCACCATTTGTGATTTTGAAGGAACAAGTACTGAAGCATCTGGTTCAGCAAGCACTGACCGATTGGGAAGGAAGAGGCGCAAGGATGAAAAAGAAGCTGTTGGTTAGGGCCGTTTCCTATCACCCACCTTGAGGACAAGGTGGTTGTTTAGGGGGGAGTATTGATAGGAATCTGGCTTAGTAGGCTAATAATAAGAAATAATAATAATAGTAAGTGTATATGTAGTAGTATAAATAGAAGATGAGGGGAGGAAAATAGGCAGGCGGTTATTTTGTTGTTGGCTGGTAGCTTGGAGATTGGGCATCTCGAACTGTCCCACAGCTTGTACACCTTTTACGACGTTCTCTTCTTCAATAAATTGTTTACGATCTGTTCATAGTTTCCTTTGCTTAATAGTGTGATTGTTCTGAATTGAATTCTACCCGTGTTCTATCAGCAGCTAGATGTTAAAACAACATTTCTACATGGCGATCTTGATAAGAATATCTACATGGCACAGCCTGAAGGATTTCAGGTTGTTGGTAAAGAAAATCTGGTCTGCAAACTAAAACGGAGCTTATATGGTCTAAAACAAGCACCGAGGCAGTGGTATCTGAAGTTATCAAACTTCATGATAAGGATAGGTTACAGAAGATGTGAGATGGACCATTGCTGTTAAGTGAAGAGGTTCAAGAGTTCATATATCATTCTATTTCTCTATGTAGATGATATGTTGATAGCTAGTGCAGATATGAAAGAGATCAGCAGGTTAAAGAAACAAATGTCTCAAGAATTTGAAATGAAAGATTTGGGTTCAGCCAAACAGATTCTAGGGATGAGCATATTCAGAAACAAAGAGAATGGTTCTTTAACACTATCCGAGGAGAAGTACATTGGGAAAGTGTTGGAGAAATTCAAAATGAATGGTGAGAAGACTAAACCAAGAAACACGCCTTTGGGAAGTCACTTCAAGCTTACCAAAGACCAGTCTCCGAGAACCGATGAAGAGAAAGCAAAAATGTCTTAAGTTCCTTTTGCATCTGCAGTTGGTAGCCTCATGTATGCTATGGTGTGCACGAGACCAGATATTGCTCATGCAGTCGGGGTTGTTAGTCGCTTCATGTCAAAATCGGGGAGGGAACATTGGGATGCAGTTAAATGGATACTTAGGTATTTGAAGGGTACTACAAAGATGGGGTTATGTTTCAGAGGTAAAGACGTGATTTTGAGAGGGTGTTCTGATGCTGATTTGGGTGGATGCAAAGAGACATTTAAAAGCACTACGGGGTACATTTTCACAATGGGAGGAACTGCAGGAACTGCAGTTAGTTGGATGTCCAAACTTCAGAAAAGTGTAGCTCTTTCAACAATCGAAGCAGAGTACATGGCAGTTGCTGAAGCCAGTAAAGAGCTGGTTTGGTTGAGGAACTTCCTTGACGAGTTAGACAAAAAGCAAGCAGATTACTCGTTACACTGTGATAATGTGATAATGAGAGTGCAGTGAAACTTGCCAAGAATCCAGTCTATCATGGGAAAACAAAGCACATCGGGATGAGATATCACTTTGTCAGAGGAACAATGAACTTGAAGAACATCTCAGGTGCAAAGAATCCAGCAGATATGTTCACTAAATCTGTGACGCTGGACAAGCTGAAGTTCTGAGTAACTTCAGCTGGCCTTCAAGAATAATGTTGAGAAGGCAGGTGGCAACTAGGAGGAGCTAAACACAGATGAAGTTTACAGAAGTACAGAGGAGTGGAGTGCAGTTGATCATGTTTTGAAGCCTCCAAGTGGGAGATTGTTGGGCCGTAGGCTTCGGCCCATTCAGATCTGGGAGCCAAATAAACAAAGAGCAGCAGCCTGCTCTAGTTAAATGTGTAGGCAGCCCTAGTTGGGCCTGTTTCTTTGGTTGCAGTCAGGCCCAGAACCTTATCAAGTGTTTTACCCTAATTGTTTGCCTATATGTATTGACTCCTGTACTTGTAAACTATGACTTGTATCATTCATCTTCTCAATAAGAAAGAAAACCCTAGTTGCCCCCGTGGATTAGGTCAGTAACACTTACTGGCTGAACCACGTTATATTAATGTGCCGTTCTTCTCGTTCTTTTCTAGTTTTTCAGGTTCGTGCGTGTGTGAGATCTAACCCTAACAGTACCAATGGCTTGAGTAAATCCACTTCCGCCGCAGCTCTAGCATATCTTCCATGGGCCACAAACAGAGTAGTTCTGTCCAGTTTCAGTGGGGATCCAATTTTATCCAGGACAGCTTTTATAATGTCTTCAACGAAATACTCTCTTGGGGGCCCCAGTAACCTCACCCATACTACCATTTCTGTGGTTTGGCTAGTGAGGGTTGGAAATGTGGGACCAAATGTTGAACCACAATATATTGATCAAACACCTTCCAGGGACCCTCCACAAGTATATGGATGTAATCCCTCTGCAGATCCATTTATACCGTGTAGCATCCATAACCCAAATCTATGAATTCAATTCAACCATGAGGTTTCCATAACCGCAGTAGACGGAATTGAAGCACTGGAAATGCCATTTGGCCCATGGTTTTAATTATCAATGCTTTTCTCCATTGTCGATGAAGTTCCCGCTTCCTTGCTATTGGAATAATTACCCTAGGAACATCTTCATCCCCGGTATAATAATCTTCATCATCAGAAACTTCCTCTTCCTCTTCTAAGCACCAGTTTGCATTTGGTTGCTCCCGATTTCCCAAATGTGATGCAACTGCATCAGCGAATGACCTCTTGTTTAATCTTTTTTGCAGTGTTGCCACATTGTTATTGTTGTTGTTTGTTGTATTGCCACATTTTCGTGATAACTTATATTTTTTAAAACGGTGCAGGGTGACCGAACAGATAAACGAGACACTAGTGCTTTTAATACATGGAAAGACATTATTATCCCTGGAAATGTTGATGATGGGATGACTATTTCACACGGATCTCGGTTAGTTGAGCCTTTGCATTTGTCAAAAAGGAAGTACTTGGCAAACTTTCTAGGCCGAGCGCAAGGAAAGAGTGGTCGGCTTCAACTGATCAAACTTGCAAAACAATTCCCAGAAAAGGTTTGTATTCAATAACCGCTCCCATTAGAGAGTCCTTATATGTAAGCATTGCAGTTAATGAAATAAATGAATTGCGTGGATGCCAGATCAATGACACAATAATAATGATTAACGTTCTTGCATATTTACTAAAAAATGAAATGAATGAATGTTGAGAGTTGATTTGATACCGGATATTGCAACAATTCAGTAAATACCTATAATGACAGCATTTATCTGGAAGTGCTAGTTCCAGACCCCTACCAATCTGAAGTCTGAAGTTTGAAATGGTTGGTCCTGTGCTTTTGTCTATAATATTATTCTATGGAAATTATATTTGTGCAATGTCACTAGAATCTATAATGCCCCTATTCTATCATTTATTATTTTTATTTATTGGAAAAATTGACAAGAATAATCCCACACTGGTCTTCTCATAATAATCCCATCTTTAAATAATCCCACCTTTGCACCTCATCTTCTTTCATTGGACCTTGACCATGTTTTTTACCCTTTCTTTGGAAATTATATAAATAATCTCACTTTCCACTTTTTAATCATATCCTTATAAATGTGAGATTATTTATATAAGAATTTTAAAAAAGGTAAAAAAACTTGATCAGGGTCCAATGAAAGAAGATGAGGTGTAAAGGTGGGATTATTTTGGGATTATTTAAAGGTGGGATTATTATGAGAAGACCAGTGAAAGGTGGGATTATTCTTGTCAATTTTTCCTTGTTTATTTGTGCAATATTGCTAGAATTTACAAAGCCAATATTCTATCATTTATGTAATACCCCCACCCTCCAAAAAAGTAATTTTAAGAAAATGTTATCTGCAGTTGGAATCTCCAGAATTGAAATTCAGTGGTCCAGATAAGCTGGGAAGAGTGCAATATTTTCAACATCTACGCAATGCCAAGTTTTGCCTTGCTCCGCGTGGAGAATCATCATGGACTCTCCGCTTTTATGAGTCTTTTTTTGTGGTAATCATATTTATCACCCCCGCCACTGGTGGAATCATCTTTTCTGACAAATATGCGTTCTGCTCTTACTTGATCATTTGGAGGCACTTTTTTTATGCCAAACAGGAGTGTGTTCCGGTCATTATATCAGATCAAATAGAAATGCCTTTTCAGAATGTTGTGGACTACACCCAGATATCAATCAAATGGCCATCCACGCGGATTGGCCCTGAACTTTTGGAGTACTTAGAATCCATACCAGGTCAGTTTTAGAGCTACTGCACACACAACACATTAACGTTCTTGGTGAGTGTTGATTTGACTTTGTCCCATTTCCCAGATGGAGATGTCGAGGAGATGATATCCAGGGGTAGAAAAGTGAGGTGCCTATGGGTTTATTCACCCACCCTTGAGACATGTTCTGCATTTGGTGGAATCCTCTGGGAACTGCAGAAGAAGGTGAGGCAATTCCATCAGTCCACGGAAACATTCTGGCTTCATAATAGAACAATAGTGAACAGGGATTTAGTTGAATTCAACAAATGGAAACGACCCATGCTTTTGCCTTGAAACAATTCGTTTGCCTTTACTGCATAGTACATTCAATCCCTTTGTTATTGGGAAAATTTTCTATAGTTGAAATACTAATTGCATAGAATCGGATTGTAATGAGCACTTCGTGTAATTTATCTGCTTGTCCTCAACCAAACAACCTAAATGATCCATATTTGTCATTCCTGTAATCTTACTGGTTCACTGCCCCTGTGCCCCTGTAAGTCTCCATCTTAATAGAATATTTTCATTCTTACTCTACATAGTACGCATCAACATGGGTAAAGGCAAACGAATTATATTTTGCATCTAAAGGGATTGAATGTAATTTATTGAGTGTAATGCAACACTGAAACCAAGCAAAATTTAGTTCGTGAGAATACAAAACCAACTCTTTCAGCACCCAATGCATCCGACATAATTCTGTGGATCCCCATTCTGAGTACAGCTTCATTTCCTTCTATCACCATCATTTCATTAATTGCTCCATTTGTAACAGTAATGAAGTATGCCAGCCAATCCCCATTCTCATTAGTCACCGCAAAGTATTTCTTGTGCTTCAGCATGACCATTATCAGTAATTCTTTAGGAAGTTCTAGGAAGGTGTCCTTAAATTTTCCATGTACTGACATACGTGCCTCAACAAGATTTCCAACTTCATTAATTAAACCAGTCTGCACAATAGGATATCTATTTAAACTATTTGAAAAATCATGGGACTGCTCCAATATAAACTTTTTGGGTTGATCATCATCAACAAAATTCCCAACATGTTGCATCAGATCGCCATAAGATTCTGCACCTACTACCACTATAGTGGCAGATGGAGTGATATGTATACCCTTCGAAACATATCCACTGAAAGGGTTGTTACGAGTGAGGGAATGGGTCATTGCTCCCGTTGTCTTTGCCGATATGTCTCCCCACATGAGATGACTTTCAGTTGCTTTAAATTGAGTATGTAAGTCAAGCTTGGAGTAGTCTTACATGCTCTCAACCTAGGGCTGCAATTCTGCTTCTTGTATTTCAAGGTGTTGGGCATGGCTAGACTTATCAACATCCTGAATCGTAACAACTGGACTGGAAATTAAATGCATATCGTCTGCAAGATTCGGAGAAACATAATCTTGCCATTGGATAATCTGTCCTTTCTACTCGATTTCGTCCTTCTTATTTATTTTCTTGATTACAGATTCGGTTGGCTCCAACCCAGTCTTATTTATTGACTGCGGGAAATCTTTAGCATGTTGAGCAACTTGCGAACTCAACAATTCAGATAGTGAAAAATCTGGCGAAGACCTCGATGACTCTGGTTTTGCTGTCTTCCATGTCTTCTGTCGGTGTCTAGGTGGAAAATCTTTAATCAAATCTTCCTTTAAAGCCTCCCAACTATCTTCTCTCTTGTGAAAGTCCCACCATTGAAACCAGCCATCTGCAGCTTCCCCCATTGCCTTTGCTGCAAGGTCCACTTTAAATCTTTCTGCAATAGCTTGGACTCGGAAATATCTTTCCATCCTCGCTATCCATGCATACGCTTCACCCTCGTGGAATAGAGGTAATTCCTCCGTCTTTGACCTAGCTGAATTCCGAGAACAGACTTTAGACGAAAGAGGCGAACTCTGAGTGGGAGGAAAATAACTTTGCGAAGAAACCTTTCGCGAATCTGCCTGCGAAGAAACCTTTCACGAATATGCCTGCGAAGAACTTTGCGAAGAGCTATACGAAGAAGGATTTGAATGGTGCAAAGTGTGCGACATATACGATCTGTTTCGCGACCGTGAACAGTAACCTGAAGTTCGCGATTGCGAACCATGGGAAGTAGTTCGCGACTCTGATTGCGAACCTGTGCGCGATAGCGACGAACGATGACTATGGTGTGAGGTACTGTGCGAGGAGCGATGCGAAGCAGAGGAGGCATGCGATCCCTTTCGCGAACGACTTTGGTGTTGTTCCGCCAATTTCGCGATCGTTGCCTGCATCGTCTTAAGCATCTCCTTCATCTGTTGTTGATTTCGTTGTTGATTCCTCTCGAATGTTTCCTTCAATCTCTTTTGGTTCTCCTCCAGTTCGTTCATCCATAAATCCATCTTCAAAGGCGTCACTTCCATCCATAGAATCAACGTGCTCTGATACCAAAGTTAGGAACCCTAGCAATTACAGAAATTCACTAACAAACAGAAGAATGGTACCTAAGAAAACTGAAAGCTTCATTAATGGATAATCCGAGTACACAGTCCCGATGAAGGAGATGAACTCCAACTTCTCAGTCCCAGACCAAATGAGTCTAAACAGCCTGCCCTTATTTCCCCAGTCTATTCTATTTATAGTAAACCATACTACCGCCTACAGATATTAGTTATTAACAGAATTTAACTAACAACTACTCTTATTTATCCTTCTTCTAGAATAAACTCTTCCATAATACTTGTCATCAATTTATGGCTGCATTAAGTCTCTAACACCCCGTAAGTCTCCATCTTAATAGAATAATTTCATTCTTCCTCTACATAGTACGCATCACCATGGGTAAAGGCAAACGAATTATATTTTGCATCTAAAGGGATTGAATGTAACTTATTGAGGCAACATATGTACACATCAACATGTAACTTATTGAGGCAACTTATTCTCCCTAGCAAATAACAATTATCTTAGCTCTTAGCACTCAGATAAACGAACAACCTCTCGACTAGTAGTTGAAGTGTGTTGTATACGGATCCTTATTATCATTTAATAAGATACGGTCCACTTACTACTCTTGTCATTGACACATCTTACTTGCTTGGATTAGTCATGGGCTCGGGTCGGGCCCGGGCCGGGCCTAGGCCCGGTCGGGCCGCCGGTTTGTATCACATGGGCCCAGGACCTGCCCGAGGGTTGGACGGGTCCGATTCGGGCCGGGCCACCCGCCCGGGTCACGGGTCGGGCCACCCGCCGGGCCGAGCCGGGCCGGTTAATGATTTTTTTTTGTTTTTATAATTTATATTTTATACTTTATAGTTTTATACAAGTATTAAAAACAAACTTCAAGTGCATTTATTTGAAATGAAATAGGAACTACATTTGAAAATAAAATAGGAACTACAATTGAGAATTGAAGGTAAAATTAAAACATGAAATACTAATCAATCATTCAATCGGAATCTCCGGCATAGGTAGAGCCACCCTCGGTTGTAGATTCATCCATAAAGTGTTGGGAAGGGGTGATGTCAATTTCTTGAGCTCTACGGGCTGCTTTTAACCAATCGTGGTAGCATATAAGCATCTCAAGAGATTCTGCGCTCAACCTCGTTCTAGTTTGCATTAGGACATTGTCGGCCGAACTAAATTCTTGTTCCACGGCAACCGTTGAAACCGGCATTGATAGCACTTGCTTAGCCATCTTTGCTAAAACCGGGAACATTCTTTCTTTTCCCTTCCACCAGTTTAGTACGTCAAAATCATCATCTTCTTCAAAATCAACATCATCCAGGAGTATTTATAGGTTTCCCACCCCCCAAGGCCCCAACGACTATTTTGGGCAAATTTGTTTTTTAAAAAATGGACCGTTGGACCTGGACCCAGGCCCGACCCGGCCGGGCCGGGTCAACTTTTTCTGGAACCGAGCCCGCCCCGCCCATCCCCACCGGTTCGGGTCTACACTCGGTCCCGGATTGCCAGATCGGGCCGGTCCCGGGCCCGCACAGTAGCGGGCTGGGCCAGGTCACGGGCCGGGTGACCCGAACCGAATCCACCCCTAGCTTGGATCATACATCCATAAAATTCTCCACTCGAAATCCATTGGAAGGTGTTGGACCTTTGGGATGAAGGAATAAACCTCAACACTGGCGCCGTATGTGAGAAACTGTTCTAAAAGTTTCCAAAACAAACTCACCAAAGCAGCTCCTTAAGAACCTTTCTAAGCAAGCGAGATGGCAAGAAACAAATTCGAACGTATTCTTGACCTTTCCGAGCAGCCGACGAGCAGCAGGAGGACTCACACCTAGTTAATTGGTGGCCAATCTAGTAGCATGTGAAGCCGCAGAGATGGCGGGAATGTCACTGACTTGATTCCCCTGGAAGCCAGAAGAGACCCTCGCATCATGAGGGAATTGGTGGAAACCATGCATCACATGGCGGACGAATAGGACGCAGAATGGACCGTGTATTTGACAGAAACCGAACGTATACCCTTCTCCCCCATCCACTCCATGCAACCACTTGGGGAACGAACAAGCGAGACCGTGGAGTCTTGCACATCGGTCCACACACATATCGACGGGACCCCCCACTCACCAAACATGGGAGGCCAAGGAGGGACTAGGCCCCCAGAGGCGGGCAACGATTTGCAGCACAAAACCACACACTGGTGATGCCGCGCGACAATGATTGGGCCAGAGAACCAACTTCCGTGATAAGCAATGTGGGACCACAGTTCCAGTATGTGGAGGGGCTGGGCGCCCGCTTCATCCAGAGGCAGCCCGGTGCGGACGCTCTCTGCACGGAAAATACCCTAGCACCGATTGACCCCGTGGCCCCGACCACCGACACACGAGATGAGATGCTTGCTGGTATTCAGGGGCAGATCGACGAACTCAATCGTCGAACGAAGAGTTCGTCTCCCCATTCTCTACGAGGATCATGGTTGCACAGATACCTCGGGATTACCAACCACTGGGCACGCTGGTATACAACGGGGTCGGGGATCCGAAGGCCCACTTTCTCACCTTCCAGGATGGGCTCACCATGCTAGGGGCATCTGACGATGCCATTTGCAGGCTGTTATTCAACACCACCTGCGTCGTAGGAATGGTTCAGGCAGTTGAGGCCCGGGACTATAGATAGTTTTCATCAACTTTCTAGGTAGTTCATGGCGCAGTTCGCATCTAGCACAACGCCGAAGAAGCATTTCTGCTCTCTGACGAGGGGCCGTCAGGACAATGGGGAATCCCTCTGCGCTTTCCTAGTCCAATGGAGGGACGAGACACTGAAGATCAAGGACCTGACATAATGTACCGGCATCACTCTCTTCACCAAGGATCTAAAGAAAAAGCCGGGGACCAGCTACGCTAAGGTGCTGACCCGAGCGCAAAACTACGTTGCAATTGAGGAAGAAATTGTCCGGAGGGACAGGTCGCCAATTGCTACGACCCGCAAGATGGCGGAACAACTTGGCCAAGGACCGGGGGAATCCTCGTTATAAAAAAAGAAGAAGACGGGCGGCGGGTACACCCCATGTGATGAAACGGTTAGCAACACGGGGGGGGGGGGGGGGGGGGGGGGGTGAATTGTGTGT